ACAGAGATATACTGCCATCATGACACTGAACTTCTACCAGCTTTCTCAGAACAGAGGTTATTGAGAAATACTTCCCTTTCTTGTATAAACCCTGCCTGTCACATAAATACCTCCCATTTGCCTGCAATGTGGACCTATAAACAGGAAAAGATGTAAAAAAGCAAATCCAGGCCGACACAATAACAACATTCAAACAGGAAAAACTTTCTATTCAGAAATGAAGAGGTACAGATGAGCAGTTTCAAACCTGAATATTTATGTACTATCTTTAAAATGTAAATGCAGTTCTCTGAATACCGTTCATGATTTATTAGGTTCTCTGTTCAGATCTTGTTGGATACTGGAGCAGTAATACCCTTCCTCCATTTTCAAAAAGTGGAAGTGGATCAGCAGTCACAAATTGCACTGAGTTCCAGTACCGTTTTAAAATGATCATGATAGGCAGAACTGTTGGAAAGACATGCTTGCTGAGGCGCTGCAAAGGGCCTGTATCTGGAGAGCACAGGTGCTACCATTGGAGTGGACTTGAGCAATCACATCCTAGAGATGGATCCTGGGGTGAGAGTACAAATACAGATTGTGGATACACCCAGTCAGGAATGGATTGGGTAAGCAGAGAGAATATATAACATCTGCATGCTCTTCAAAATGTCTTTAACTTGTTCTCAAAAATCTGTGCATTTCCCCCCCAGCAGGTATTTTACCAGAAGACTTAATTTAGGAATACAATACAGTTAAATTACATTTTATGACATTGGATACTGTAAAATTGGGCAATAAAGTCTGTTTTTTGGTGTGTTGGTTAACTCTGGAATCTATTTGCAATGTTTCCAAGTCCTTTTGAAATCATACAGTTTTGTGTGAGAAACAGATAAAAAAAAAAATATTATTTTGCCATGCTGAATGTGTTTTTCCTTCATTTTTAGATCTTTAAAAATCACTTAAAAGCACTTAACATCATGCACAATGCGATGGAATTTTCCTTTTCAGGAATATTATGGACCAGATCTTCCCACGCTTGATGCCAGCTGGATGCCTGCTGGTGTTTGACCTGGTCTTTCAGCTACGTTAAGTATTGCCATGTAGAGATGTGCAAGACTGTGAATCCATACACTGTGTTCTACCTACTTGTGGGACACAAGAGTGACAGAAAAGAGTGAGAAGTTAATCAAGATGAAGTAGAACATTTAGCAAATGAATTGGGAGCGGCATACCTGCCAAAACCGGCCACAATGTGGCAGAAGTTTTTGAACTGTTGACCCGGCGCATTTATCAGGGCTATCTGAGTGGAGAGATGAGCGTGTGTCCAGGACAGGGCAAGATCCATGACTATAATCCAGCTGAAAATAATACCACAACAAGTAACAACAACAAGTGCTATAAATCAAAAATATTTCATTATATTATAGTGCCAGTGACTCATTTCTGATTTCACTGCTTGATGCTTATAACTAGGCCTATGTTTGAAAAAATTATAGAATCTTTTAATTTTCATACCTAATTCCACGTGCTGATTTAAATGCTTTGTGGCTATTTTGCATACACACTTACTTATATTTTGTATTAATTATTTTTTGTTGCTTATTATTCATTTTTATTAAATATTTAACTTGTTTAATTTTGCTTTTAGTTACTATAATGAATGTGGTGGTACAAGTTTAAATACATTGCACAGATATTTCAATCAAAACAAGAGCAGAAAATACAAAAAGCCAGCATATCATATCACGAGCTGTAGTAAAGCTCGAACTTCCTTTTACAGATGCTGGTTGCGTTCCATAATAATATAAGGTTAGTTTTAGATTTACTTGATTATAGTGAAGTGTTTCAAGAGAGTGGGTTTCTGATTTTTTTTAGATTTTTATCAAGCTTTTGATGTCGTAGAGCAGGGGGGCCAAAACTCGGTCCTGGAGGGCTGGTGTCCTGCAGAGTTTAGCTCCAACTTGCCTCAACACACCTGCTGGTAAGTTTCTAGTATGCCTATAAGAGCTTGATTAGCTGGTTCAGGTGTGTTTAATTGGGGTTGGAGCTAAACTCTGCAGGACACCGGCCCTCCAGGACCGAGTTTGGGCACCCCTGTCGTAGAGCATCCATTTATTTTGAAAACCTTACAGCATTTTGGTTTTGGAGTAAGATTCATACATTTAATTGAAATGTTATATAATGGAATAAATAGCTCTGTAGCACTTGGTCATGGAACCTGCACAAGATTTCCAATTAAAAGGGGGATTCGTCAGGGATGTGGCAGCTCACCATTATTGTTTATAATGGTTGCTGAGCTGTTATCTATATTGATCAAAAATAATGGTTTAACAGTGTTGGATAGGCAAATAATTATAAGTCAGTTTGCTGACGATACAACGTTGTTTATTATAAATGAATGGAGAATAACAAATGTATTGAATAACATAGATAAATGTAAATCCACTCTGAACAGATGGTTGCAGAGGGATCTTACAATCTTTGGAAGGGTTCTTTTGTCTAAAATGGATAGTTTGTCCAGACTTATCTACCCAGCCTTCTCCTTGCCCATATCGACAAGAATGATCAAATTAATAAGTAAGGTGACTTTTAAATTTATCTGAAATGTCACTACATAAGAAAGGAAGATATGATTAAAAAAGATGAAGACAGTGGTGTGAATGCGATCGATTTTGATATTATGAATGGTCTTCTGAAATTGAAATGGTTAAAATCCTTCATTCAAGATAGCAGTTCTTTTTGGTTTATTGTCCCCAGTGCAATTTTTAACAAACTGGGAGGAATAAATTATTTTCTACGTTGTGATTTGGAGTGTACCTCGTTACCAGTTAAACTTTCAGCTTTCCATCAGCAAGGGCTGCTCTATTGGAAATGATTGTTCAAACATAACTTCACACCTCACAACACTCCAGTTTGGAATAATAGATATATAAAGATAGGCAGAAAGTCAGTATATTTTGAGGAATGGAAATCCAAAGGAATTTGGGCGATTGCCCATTTCTTGGATGATAATGGAAATTTGTTACTGTATAGAGAATTCTGTGAAAAATTCTAACGGCAGTGTTCTGTTAATACTAATAATAGAATAATTAGAGCCATTCCAATTGCTGTAAGATTAATAGTTAAAGAAGACATTTTGTACTCCAAAGTCTCCCCAGAACTGAGACAGCTCTCCTTAGAAGGTTAGGATTTTTGTGATAAAAAAAATGTACAAATAGAGTCATTAGAGATTTTATTTTACAGGATTATTATCCTAACCCTATTAGAAGGGAATACATGCTCAAAGATTTTTATATTATGGAAAGTACAAAAAATTAGGAAAAGCTATATATCTTTTCCTCTTCCTCCTAAAGTTAAGGAGGTGAACTTCAAAATTTGAAATTAGATTTATCCTACCAATGAATTTTTAAGACTGAAATTTAATTTGGATGTGAATAATTGTGTTTTTTGTGAAATGAATATTGAAAATCTAAAGCATGTTTTCTTTTGTTGTGATTTGGTGCAACTTTTTTGGAGAGATGTACAGAACTGGCTACAGTCTAGAGAGGTTGAACTCCCACCCCTTACGATGAAGTTAATTAGGTTTGGTATTTGTCTGGAAAACAAAGAGTTGGATTTTGTTATTAATTTCTTGCTTTGTCTTGGAAAGTTTTTCATTCATAAATGTAGATGGTTTAAATCTAAACCCAACTTTAACCAGTGGATGAATTAGGTTAAAATTTTGTGCAAATCTTTAGAATTGGTTAAAAACAAGAAAGCTCTCAAATTGATTTCATTTTTGGGGCATGTATAAACTAATATAAAAAGCCCCTTTTGGTTTGTTTTATTTGTTCTATTTATTTATTTCTTTTCTTTTCTTCTTTATTATTGGTTTATTGTGATCTTGTTTGTCACTGGTTATGCTCAGTCTAAGGCTGTTCACGTGTTGTTAGATTATGTGATGTGTTTATGTACCTTGTTTTTTTTTGTTGTAAATGGAAGCATAATAAAATAAAAAATTAAATAAAAAAGATGCTGGTTGCGTTTTCATTGTCATAGGAAAAGATTGTACGTCCCCTATTGGCCATAGAGAAAAAATGTCATTTCAAACCGGTTTAGTGAAGGGAATGCTACAAAAATGCACAGCTTACATATTATTAGACATTTAAAACAAGCTGTAAGGAGTCGTGAGACAAATGTTCACGTTTTAATGGTCATTTTAGTCTATTAGACTACCATAATAATACTAGATTACGTCTTATATCTGCTTTCTCTCTCTGTTAGTAAATAATGAACATTTATTCTGCTTCATTGGATCCCCACCCTTGCTGTTCTGGTATGAATTACTTTCATTAGAACTATAAAAAGTGTCTGAACAGGCTCAGTGTGCATAGGCCTATCAGTGGCTTTTTAGGCTTCCGTATATACAAAGACTAATAGCAGTAACACATTGTTAATAGCATTACAATTAAAGGTCCACTGGATTTACAAAGTAGTCCACTAAACTAAATTATCTTAAAACAAAGTGAAATACTCTATTTATAGCCCAAGTCGACACCGGCCTAAACTGTCTGTCTCTCTGTGTCCTAAGGGAGTCTGTTCCATTGCTGTTCACCTCCTGTTTGGGAAGCCACATAACTGTGGAAACGTTTTGTAGCAAACTAACCTGTAATGCACACTGGTAAGGAGTATAGTAGGCTTGATTTCATCATGACATTGGAAGTCTTCCAGCCATCTTCAGAGGTTTTGACCTGGGTGGAAGCATTCTCATGGTTGGCCTATTGAGAAAGACTTAGCTGAAATGTTTTTCCTCATTACAAGTGCTTTTATGTGATGCATGCCATGAGCTGGCCTCAACAGGAAATACTGGGCTTGTTCTGATATGATACTGCATGCTTGTTCCCTCTGGTCTCTGAGAAATTCCTAACTTTCTGCTGGTATTTATAAACTCCGCCTCTCACATAAACCCCACCCAATAACAAGTATGAACAGGCAAAGATTAAAAAAACAGATGAACTAGACAGAAGCTCTCACCCCTACTACGTTCAAACAGACGCTGCCCTTTGCAGAACAACACAGGAGAACCTGAGGAACTATGGGTTTATTTCTACTTATGTTTACAATGAGAACTTCAAGACCTCTAAGGTAAGGGGTTCTCTGGTCAAATCTCTGAGGATCCTGGTGGAGTGACAGTCTTTAGTCAACCCTAGTCTTTTTATTCGCCCCATTCGTCTGGTTGAAGTCATGGCTCTCACTTTGTGGCAGTACCAGTTTCGAATAATCATGTTAGGAGACTCCACAGTGGGCAAATCATCCTTGTTGAAGCGCTACACAGAAGATCTGTTTCTGGAGTGCATCAACCAAACAGTCGGAGTGGACTTCTATGTACACTTCCTAGAGGTGGAACCTGGGGTGAGGGTCAAACTTCAGTTCTGGGATACAGCTGGTCAAGAGAGGTTTAGGTAAGTCCAAACATTTCAAATGTTCTACCATGGATTGAACAAACAGTGTTCTCCAAAATCAAATACCTAAGGTCAGGGGTGTCCAATCATGCTACCGGAGTGCCAACGTCCTGAAAAGTTTAGCTCAAACTTGCCCCAACACACCTGTCTGTTTCTTGTAATCCTGAAGACCTTGATTACCATGTGTGTTTATTTGGGGTTAAAGCTAAACTGTGCAGAAAAGTGGCCCTCCAGAAGCAAGATTGGACAGCCCTGTTTGTTGAACAATCAACAACAACAAGGACTATTTTCCCCTTAAAGTAACTTCTGTATGTTTACTCATAAGCTCAGTGTCTAAAACAGTTTAAAGAGGTTGCCTTGCTTCTGTAAAACAGGATTGTGAAACATATTTGTGAAACAAATATTTGCATGATACTTCCAGGAAGTATTTTGTCAGTCTACACTAAAAATGGATTCACTGTCAGGCCTGGCTCCACGGGTGGGTGGAGGGGCGGGTGTTTTGGTCTTGACCCACTTAATTGGCCCACCCTGGCAATCGTGCCAACTGTTCAGCCCACCCGGAGAGAACTATGGTCCATCTGACTTCTTAGAGCAGGGGTGCCCAACCCTGGTCCTGGAGATCTACCTTCCTGCAGAGGTCAGTTCCAACCCTGATCAAACACACCTGTCTGTAATTATCAAGTGCTCTTTCAGATCCTAATTAGTTGGTTCAGGTGAGTTTGATCAGGGTTGGAGCTAAACTCTGCAGGAAGGTAGATCTCCAGGAACAGGGTTGGGCACCCCTGTCTTAGAGCTTGAGTTGGGCCTGTTTTCTGGTATGCATGGATGACTTTAAACAGACAGCGCACCAAAATGTGAAACTTATGTCATCATTTACTCACCCTCATGTCATTCCAAAGTCTCGTGGGAGGCAAGTCTTGTGACGAGGTGAAGGAGGCAAATAAAATACATTATTTGATTTAAGGTATCATGGTACCAGTTCACTCGTTTTACTACACTCTTAATAATAAAGGTTCCAAAAGAATGTTTTTGGCAGCAAATCCATATTATATAAGAACCATTTTGGGTTCCCCAAAGAACCTTTCAGTGAACAGTTCCATTGTTTTCTTAGTGTGAAGAACATTTTTTTCCTATAGACCCTTTTGTGCAATGGAAAGATTCCATGTATGTTTAAAGTTTCATTATTTAATGCTATTTGAGGATAATAAATAATAAGAAATTACATTTATGCCACAGTTCATGTAAGAATTTATTGCTGATTTTACGTAATTTAAATGTGAGTTTGACAAGCAGTTTTTGCAATTTCAGCATTTCCCCATTCAAGTAAAAAGGAGTTGGTCTTGCATGCCTGAAATAGTTGGAGGGCATTGCATTTATAAATGCAGAGTGAACTGACTTACCTTTTAAAAGGACCTTGGAATGATACAGATTATCCAGTGAGAAAGAACATAAGAGACTGGATTTTATCCATCGGAAATTGATTGGTTGGAAAAAAGAAGTCGTTATGTACTAAAATAGAGCCAGAATGTAATACAATGTATAAACAGATTATTGATTATCATAGTAAAGAGGTAAAAAAATAACCCTAAAACTATGGTATGTTTCAGGTCTGTGACTCGCTCCTACTACCGTAACTCAGTCGGAGGTCTTCTGGTGTTCGATCTGGGCAACCGCAAATCTTTCGAAAACGTGCAGCAGTGGTATGCAGAGGTGTGCGAACGTGTACAACCCTACACTGTGCTCTTTGTGCTGGTGGGACACAAAAGTGACCAGGTCAAAGCTGGGGAGCGAGCCGTGGACCGAACTGAGGCAGAAAAGCTCGCAAGCCAATTGGGAGCACCGTACATCGAGGCCTCAGCCAAAACAGGTCACAATGTGAAAGAGGCCTTTGAACTCTTGACCCAGCAGGTTTATCAGGGCTTAAAAAGTGGAGAGATCCAGTTGCGTGATGGGTGGGATGGAGTCAAGAGCTCAGCACTTACAGCCCAAACACTCGAGAGGAAACAAAACAAGGAAGCCGCTGAGAAAAACAAGAGCTGTGCTTGTTAACTTACAATATGTGATTCTCACAACCTTTGAGTGCAGATCATCAAATAGGATGGATCGGTCTGACATTGCCAAATATACATAAAAGCAAATGTCAAGGTCTTTCAGATTGTAGGTATGAAATTTGATCATCAGCCAGAACTTTCATAACAGCATGGATAATTTGTGCTTATCTGCAAGTTTTCAGCATTTGCAAACCACACTGAAACTCTTGTTTAATGGCATATACATACATGTGTACATTTGATTTCCAGTTGTTTTTTCAAATTTCTGGACTCAACTTTGGATAAAGGTCTTTAGTAGTGTGGCAACAGTGTTACTGCATCAGTTGAATATTTTAACTGCTATTCATCCAATTACATTCATTGCCATGCATTTGGCCACATATTTCCATAAACATGGTTGTATATTTGCTGATACAGAAAGGGCTGCCTGAAATTTATAGCTCTGCCTGTAATTCATAATTGCATGTGATTCTGGAGGTATGTAAGACGTAGAAGTAATTAACTAAAATATTACATTTACACATAATGGGAGTTTATATATTCATTTGCCACAGTCTAGACACAATGCTGAAACAGTTTATGATAGTTATTTCTGAAATTATGTCCAACACAACCTGAGTGATTTCAGTGAGAATAAATCACAATAAGTCTTTTTTATTCATGAAAAACAAGAGACTGTAAAACACAGTGATACATGGCAAAAAAAAAAAGTTTATACTCAGTTTAACTCCACAGAAATTTTCAAATCTGCCCACAAACCCAGAGCAGAAGGGGTTTATGCACCATTTCCTATACATCACACATATATCACTCTCTAACCAATTAGCCAATCTGCATTATGTCACTAGTCCCAATGCAATTAATTAAATAGGGAAGTGGTATTTATTTCTCTGGTAAAAATGACTGCTTACCTTTAGAAAGTCACACACTAAAGATTTCCTCTATAGTACTAAATATTACTTAAGTGATGAGTTCTATAACACCGAACACTATGAACAAATCAGACACATGGTGATTGTAATTGTGCATAGCTATTAATGCCAGCTGAGCAAAAGTTGTGTGACGGCATGACAGGTCAGCTATACATGAAATATGAATGAAAATGTGGTTTGTGGGAGAAACAATAAACAATTGATGTTTTTCACAGGAGTCTGTGAGATTCTATAATATAATAAACCCCAGTATAGCACCAAGCCAGAGACTAAAGTGCCCAAATAAAATGTTCACATGGTGGTTTTAACATCACTTAACGTCACTTCCTACGTGAAATGTCAACAGAACCGTACTGTAAATAGTTCAACGCATTCTGCCTCTCTGATTAACATAACATATATAGGTTCAATCCCTCTCCATTTCCAAAACTTGCAGGAAAAAAAATGTTTGTTGGTGCTTCCAATCTTGCTACTTTTTGGTTGTTTTGCGGATCAATGCCATTCTCTGAAAGAAAAGAAAACGATATTTCGATATGCAAGTCATTTGTTTTTCATAATATCAGTTGAAGTGCATGAGAACGATAGCTGACCTGTTTGTGAGCTTCTGTGGTGCAAGCCTTCTTATACGGTCGGATCTCATCTGAGCCAAAACCAGGAATCCACATGTTCCACTGTCGTTCTGTAATACAATGTTGGATTATGGACTATATTAACACAGTTCTTCAGCTAGACATTCAAACAGTCTGCAACTGGCCTTGATTTAACCATTTATAGGATACATAATGTAACTCTTATTTTTATTTTCTATAATATTAATGGTAATAAAATAAAATGTAAAAACACCAAGTTCAACATAGAGGGACACATTAAAGGATTAGTTCACTTCCAGAATGTTTGTGTAAATTATCAGGAAATTTTTATTCTGGAAGTGAACTAATCCTTTAAAATAAAAATGTGTGTATTTATTTAAATTCATAAAAAAGCACTCAAACCACTGAGAATTGTATATGCAAGATCCTCACCCAGGTGTAGCTGGACATCTTTCACTTCAAGAGTGTTTGACTTCCTGTGTCGGGCGAGTTGGCACGCCGCGGTCACCACACTCTCAATGAAGTCATCGGCAATCTGCAAGAGCATCTGAAGGGAAGGGAAATGACTCGTATCAACAGACAACAGCATATAGTGACACTACTTGGGGTAGGGTTTGGTAAGATTTTTGCTGTTTTAGGACGAAGTCTCTCGTACTCAGAGACTGCATTTATTTGATACGGTAAAAATAGTAATATTGTAAAATATTTTTCTGCTTAAAGGGGTCCTTGATTATGATTTAACTTTTTTTAAATTAGTGTGTAATGTTTCTGTTTGAGCATAAACAACATCTGCAAAGTTACGATGCTCAAAGCTCAATGCAAAGGGAGATATTTTGCATCCTTGTTGAAAAAAAGTATTATAATGATAAATAATAAAAATATAAAGTAATGTTCTAATTTTTAATGTTCAAAATGGATAACTAAGGAACCATATCAATAATAAGAGTAATACGTACCTCCTCCACATCTTCATCGAGTTGCTCATTAGGGTCAATTTCTCTCACAAGATCCTGCAGTTTCTTCTTACTAAGCACCTGTACGGAGGATATTAGATCATAAATGTAACAAATACAAATAGAGGCAAAGTCTAAAACATTTGAATTGCTTGCTATCTCACCTGAGTGCCTTCAGGGCTCAGTCTCCCTGCAGGTCCAGGGGTGCCTGGAACTTTCCCGGGGACGACGGTGCTGTTGGCCATGTTGGTGGAGATGGGTGGTGTTGAAGAGGCTTCTGCTTTCACAACAGTGAATAAGTTAGAGCGACTAGTCTGTGGTGGGTACTGGGTCATACTATGCTAGTCAAGAGATATCTGTCACGAGCCTCTTCAAAACCAGAGTGAGGTATGTTCAGCTGCAAAAAATAAAAAAAGTAAAAGTATTAATAAATATTTTAGAGTCACTCAATACACAGCTCACTAGGAAAAACATCACAGAACTGTCATCTGCTCTACAGACTAACGACTTTAGCTTTTTAGCTTCGTTGATGTTTTCTGACATTATCAGCTTAAACTACCTGGGCAAATGCGGATGTAATACTGATATTAGTAAATGTAGTAATGTAAATTAACAAATAAATCATGTTTTGTCTGAATGTTTTCGCGGTTGCTATAATTCATCACCACATATATCAATTTCAGCTTAGCATATTAGCAGCTAGCATGTAAACATTTGTGTCAATCCACGTCTCGCGATGCTTTCCTTTTGTTTGATAGAATCCTGTCAGGTGATGAATTAGTGTAGTACCTGATCCAAATAATTCTGTATTATCTTCCCATCTTCAACATTTATAAGCTGGAAATATTCAAAAGCCCATATAAGTTGATGATGTTATTCCTTCTACAGGCGCCTCGTCCGACTGGCGAACGGAGCTCTGGTGAATTATCGCGAGATCTCCGGGAATGGGTTTAACAAAATAAAGGCCCAGCTGAAAAAGAAGCCATTCGTCTGCGGAGAAATAAACGTCTATTCAAAATTACCGTTTTTTAAAGTAAAGGATAAAGGAATGTGATTTTAATACATGTTACGCTCTAAGGGTTGCGATAAATTTTTCATTCTTCCTCCATTTTGTAAAAACAATTTGCATTTACAGTAATAGTGTTTACAATAGAAGTCAAAAGGGTATTTTGAGCGTTTGAGATTTTCTTTCATTTGAAAGGTACTGTATTTACACCGTCATACCTGGAGCTTAAACATGCTTGCACAGACAATATTGGTAAGCCATTTTATCACACTATTCTCATGTTGGCACACATAATGCTTAATTCTTATGAATACACTTTTAAAACGGTGTAATGCTTCTTCTGGTTTTGCCCTATATGGTTTCATTGTAAGTATATCACAGAACACTTGTTTAAAAACATGTACAGTGTTGTTATATTTTGCCTAAAAATGACACATTATATTTTTTTTATCCATTTATTCCAATTTCTAAATTCATGTCATGAATGTTATGTTTTCATGATTATATGTATTTCCACTTTAAGCAAGTGATGGGAATTTGATTTCAGATATCTCAGAGTCTGGTGAACTACTGCCACTTCGGTCACTGTATGTGTCCCTGAGAGAAAAAGAGAAGAAACATAAGATAAGACATACTGCTGGTAACAATTTTAAATGGTTACGCTCATCTGAGAGAGTTAATTGGGCAAATTACCGAGGTGAGAGCCGGCATCCTTTCTGTAGATAGTTCTGTAGTTTCCCAGATGCTGCCAGTAGAAGGCCAAAATAAGGAGGTGAGGGTTTGATGGGGCGAGAAGTGAATTCTGGGTGGTACTGCACTCCGACAAAATAAGTGTGATCTGTCGTGACAGAAGAAACGAGCTGAAGCAAATACCGACTATTTCTCCAGACAGGTTCAGATATTGGAGATTCACTGACCTTCAAGTTCAATGATCTCCATTCGCTCCCCCTCCAGGTCCTGACCCACAAATCGAAAACCTCTATCCTCAAAGTGGTGCTTCAATTCTGGATTCACCTAGAAAAATCCAAAAGAAACACATTAACCCGGGGGGGGAGGACTTGTACATAAAAAAAGTCATTTTGTTAATATTAAGTGAACCTCAAAGCGATGTCGATGCCTTTCGTCCACATATTCAGCATCTCCATACAGCTTTCCTACAACAAAACAATTCAAATATCATTCAAATCTAAAACCTTTAAATACAGTATCAGTTTTTAATTTTGTGATAAGTGACTTTCAGTTTACTGTGGCACAAAAGATCACAACTTACGAAGAATGCTGGAGGTGCTTTTGAACAAAGTGCGCCTTTTTCCCAACCGCATGGTTCCTCCCAACTGCCCAGGATTGTGCTCGGGCATTTCAATCACCTGATAACACAAACATCTCATCACACCACAAGAAAAAGAATCATAATGCAGATATGCTAATTTGTTTTACCAAAACATTACCTACCACTGGATGTTTTGTTTCAGGGTCAAATTCTGTAGAATTGGCATCTGTTAAGAGGAATGAAGTTCAAATAAAAACACTTTAAAAGCATGTGTGAAGTTTGATTTAAAAGAAATATCATAAAATCTGGTATGGGTGTTCTTACCTTCCCAGCCAAGTACATTACGAGCAAATTCACACACTGCCAGCTGCATGCCCAAACAAACACCTGCCAAACGAGATTTAGATTGATTTCAAATGTAACCACAGGCATGCTGTCAAAATAACACTACATAACACTGCCAGTTTTCTGAATAGAATTTGTTACCTAAAAATGGCTTTTTCTGTCTCCTCGCCCAGTTAATGGCTTGGATTTTTCCCTCAGTGCCTCGCACACCAAAGCCTCCAGGAACAAGAACCCCACTAATAGCCCATTGAAATAGTCAAATAAATATTTGATCAATAAATATTCAAAGTGAATGGCAGTTTGTAAACTATTGTACATCCATAATGTGACATATGCTGTGCTGCTTAATATTTTTGTGAAAACCATGATACATTTTCAAGATTCTTTGATAAATAGAAATGAGGAAAAATAATGAAAGCAGGACCTGTTTTTATCCATTGAGTATTGATTACACTGTGAAAAAGTGGAGCGTTATATGCCAGAATGAAGCCAGAACAAATTAAAGTTAGCTAATACAAAGCTTAAATAGCTATTTGGATATTGGTTAACGTTATCCAAGAGCCCACAGAGCTGAAATAACACCATCTGAATAAAACTTATAATTTAAATGTTCTCTGTTGATGGACAAAACAGAGTCACATTGGTTTCCGGTGTTTTTGAGGGTACACTCACTCAGCCCTGCAGAGCTTCTGCCAGGCCTCATGGTACTTCACCGGCTCCTCCTGCAACGCTGCTGGCTCCAGGTCTGCCGAATCAATGTACTGAAATGAAGGCATTTATTTATCACTCACTAAGCATTTATTTGACCAAAAATACAGTAATATTGTGAAATATGCAAAAATTCCAATTGAATTCAAAAGACACTCTCAGATGGGGCAAAACTATCACCTTCATCATAAAAGCACAGAAAATTGCTACTAGTTCCTCTGGCATTCCTTACCTTGACCTCTAGCTTATAGTTGATGGCGAGAGCAGAGTGCTCCAGTGCTTTAATAACAGAGGCATACGAATCTGACAGCTTGGTGTACTTGCCTACTAAAGCAATGGAGGTGTGCTCCAGCAGTCGGTCAGACCTATGAAACAAGGACAGACTGTTCAAAACAGCTATACCAA